GAAGGGGCTGGTGGTGAAAAGGTAGGGAAGGTGATGAAGGGGAGGGGCTGTTGATGAAGGAGCGGGGCTGGTAATGAAAGAGAGGAGCTGGTGATAAAGAGGAGAGGATGCTGGTGAAGAGGAGGGGCTGCTGATGAAGAGGAGGGGCTGATAATAAGGAGGAGGAGCTGATGAAGAGAAAGGGCTGGTGATCAAAAGGTAGGGATGGTGATGTAGGGGAGGGGCTGTTGATGAAGAGAGGCTGGTGAAGAAGAGGAGGTGCTGATGATGAAGAGGAGGAGCTGATAAAGAGAAGGGGCTGGTGGTGAAAAGGTAGGGAAGGTGATGAAGGGGAGGGGCTGTTGATGAAGGGGCGGGGCTGGTAATGAAAGAGAGGAGCTGGTGATAAAGAGGAGAGGTTGCTGGTGAAGAGGAGGGGCTGCTGATGAAGAGGAGGGGCTGATAATAAGGAGGAGGAGCTGATGAAGAGAAAGGGCTGGTGATGAAAAGGTAGGGATGGTGATGTAGGGGAGGGGCTGTTGATGAAGAGGCGGGGCTGGAGATAAAAGGGGGGCTGATGATGAAGAGGAGGAGCAGATAAAAAATTGGAGCTGGTGATGAAGAGGAGGGGCTGGTGATCAAGACGAGGAGCTGATGATGAAGAGGAGCAGATAAAGAGGGGCTGGTGATGAAGAGGAAGGTATGGTGATGAAGAGGAGGGGCTGGTGATGCAGAGGAGGGGCTTCTGACGAAGAGGAGGGGCTGCTGATGAAGAGCAGCCGATGAAGAGGAGGGGCTGGTGATTAAGGGGAGGGGCTTCTGATAAACAGGAGGGGCTGGTGAAGAAGAGGAAGAAATGGTGATGAAGGGGAGGGACTGCTGATGAAGAGGAGCTCATAAAGAAGAAGAGCTGGTGATAAAGAGGAACTAATAAAGAGGAGGGGCTGGTGATGAAGAGAGGCTGGTGAAGAAGAGGAGGTGCTGATGATGAAGAGGAGGAGCTGATAAAGAGAAGGGGCTGGTGATGAAAAGGTAGGAAAGAGGATGAAGGGGAGGGGCTGTTGATGAAGGGGCGGGGCTGGGAATGAAAGAGAGGAGCTGGTGATAAAGAGGAGAGGTTGCTGTTGAAGAGGAGGGGCTGGTGATGAAGAGGAAGAGCTGGTGATGAAGAAGAGGGGTTGGTAATGAAAGAATAAAGAGGCGAAGCTGCTGATGAAGGCTTAAAGGGAAGGAGTTGCTGATGAAGAAGAGTAGATGGTCACGAAAGGATAAAGAGGAGGGGCAGCTGATGAAGAGGAGGGGCTGCTGATGTAGAGAAGCGGCTACTGATGAAGAGGAGGGGCTGCTGACGAAGGCTTAAAGGGGAGGAGCTGACTATGAAGAGGAGACTGTGCTGATGAAAAGGAGACGCTGCTGATGAAGAAGAGGGGTTGGTGATGAAGACAAGGGGCTGCTGATGAAGACCTAAAGGGGAGGAGCTGGGGATGTAGAGGAGGGGCTGCTGATGAAGAGGAGGGGCTGGTGATGAAGAGGAGGGTCTGCTGATGAAGAGGAGAGGTTGCTGATAAAGAGGGGCTGCTGATGAAGAAGAGTAGATGGTCACGAAAGGATAAAGAGGAGGGGCAGCTAATGAAGGCTGATGAAGAGGAGGAGCTGCTGATGAAAAGGAGCGGCTGCTGAATAAGAGGAGGGGCTGCTGACGAAGGACTAAAGGGGAGAAGCTGATGATGAAGAGGAGACTGTGCTGATGAAAAGGAGATGCTGCTTATGAAGAGGAAGGGCTGGTGATAAAGAGGAGGGGCTGGTGATGAAGAGGAGGGGCTGGTGATGAAGAGGATGTGCTGCTGATGAAGAGGACGGCTAGTGATGAAGGGGATGGGCTTCTGACGAATAGGAAGGGGCTGGTGATGAAGAGGAAGAGATGCTGATGAAGAGGCAGACCTGCTGAGGGAAAGGAAAGGTTGCTGATGAAGAGGAGGAGCTGATGATGAAGAGGAGGAGCTGATTAAGAGGAGAGGTTGCTGATTAAGAGGAGCTGATGAAGAGGAGGGGCTAATGATAAAGCGGAGGGGCTGCTAATGAAGAGGAAGAGATGGTGATGAAGGGGAGGAGCTGCTGATGAAGAGGAGGAGCTAATGAAATGGAGGGGCTGGTGATGAAGAGGAGGGTCTGCTGATGAAGAGGAGAGGTTGCTGATTAAGAGGAGGGGCTGCTGATGAAGAGGAGGGGCTGGTGATGAAGGGGAGGGGCTGCTGACGAAGGGGAGGGGCTGCTAATGAAAAGGAGGGGTTGGTGATGAAAACAGGGGCTGCTGACGAAGACTTAAAGGGGAGGAGCTAGGAATGTAGAGGAGGGGCTGCTGATGAAGACCTAAACGGGAGGAGCTAGGGATGTAGAGGAGAGGCTGCTGATCTGGATAAGATGCTGCTGATGAAAAGGAGGGGCTGGTGATGAAGAGGAGGGTCTGCTGATGAAAATGAAAGGTTGCTGATGAAGAGGCGGAGCTGCTAATAAAGGGGAGGAGCTGATGATGAAGAGGAGACTGTGCTGATGAAAAGGAGATGCTGCTTATGAAGAGGAAGGGCTAGTGATGAAGGGAAGGGGCTGCTGATGAAGAGGACGGCTGGTGATGAAGGGGAAGGGCTTCTGACGAAGAGGAGGGGCTGGTGATGAAGAGAAAGAGATGGTGATGAAGGGGAGGAGCTGATGATGAAGAGGAGTTTGCTGATGAAGAGGAGGAGCTGCTGATGAAGAAGAGGGGCTGGTGATGAAGAGGAAGGGATGGTGATGAAGGGGAGGGGCTGGTGATGAAGAGGAGGGGCTGGTGATGAAGAGGAGCCGATAAAGAGGACGGCTGGTGATGAAGGGGAGGGCTTCTGATGAAGAGGGGGGGGGCTGGTGATGAAGAGGAAGAGATGGTGATGAAGAGGAAGGGCTGCTGATGAAAAGGAAAGATTGCTGATGAAGGGGAGGAGCTGATGATGAAGAGGAGGAGCTGATGAACAAAAGGGGCTGGTGATGAAAAGGTAGGGATGCTGATGAAGAGGAGAGGTTGCTAATGAAGAGGAGGAGCTGATGAAGAGGAGGGGCTAATGATAAAGAGGAAGGGCTGCTATTGAAGAGGAGGAGCTGCTGAAATGGAGGGGCTGGTGATGAAGAGGAAGGGATGGTGATGAAGGGGAGGGGCTGCTGATAAAAAGAAAAGGTTGCTGATGAAGAGGAGGTCCTGGTGATGAAGAAGGGAAGGTTGACGAAGAGGAGGGCTTGCTGATAAATAGGAAAGGTTGTTGATGAAGAGGAGGAGCTTATGAAGAGGTAGGGATGGTGATGAAGGGGAGGGACTGCAAAGGAAAAGGAAAGGTTGCTGATAAAGAGGAGGGGCTGCTGATGAAAAGAAAGCTGCTGATGAAGAAGAGGGGTTGGTGACAAAAGGATAAAGAAGAGGGGCTGCTTATGAAGGCATAATTGGGAGGAGCTGATGATGAAGAGGGGTTGGTGACAAAAAGAGAAAGAGGAGGGGCTGCTGATGAAGAGGAGGTGCTGATGATAAAGGCTTATATGGGAGGAGCTGATGATAAAGACGAGGGGCTGGTGATGAAAAGGAGGGGCTGCTGATGAAGAGGGGGGCTGGTGATGAAGGGGAGGGGCTGCTGATGAAGAGGAGGGGCTGCTGACGAAGGCTTAAAGGGGAGGAGCTGATGATGAAGAGGAGACTGTGCTGATGAAAAGGAGATGCTGCTTATGAAGAGGAAGGGCTAGTGATGAAGGGAAGGGGCTGGTGATGAAGAGGATGTGCTGCTGATGAAGAGGACGGCTGGTGATGAAGGGGAAGGGCTTCTGACGAAGAGGAGGGGCTGGTGATGAAGAGAAAGAGATGGTGATGAAGGGGAGGAGCTGATGATGAAGAGGCGGTTAGTGATGAAGAGGAGTTTGCTGATGAAGAGGAGGAGCTGCTGATGAAGAAGAGGGGCTGGTGATGAAGAGAAAGGGATGGTGATGAAGGGGAGGGGCTGGTGATGAAGAGGAGGGGCTGGTGATGAAGAGGAGCCGATAAAGAGGACGGCTGGTGATGAAGGGGAGGGCTTCTGATGAAGAGGGGGGGGCTGGTGATGAAGAGGAAGAGATGGTGATGAAGAGGAGGGGCTGCTGATGGAGAGGAAGGGATGGTGATGAAGAGGAGGGGCTGCTTAAAAGAGAAGCGGCTGCTGATGAAGAGGGGCTGCTGATGAAGGCTGATGAAGAGGAGGAGCTGCTGATGAAGAGGAGCGGCTGCTGATGAAGAGGAGGAGCTGCTGACAAAGGCTTAAAGGGGAGGAGCAGATGATGAAGAGGAGACTGTGCTGATGAAAAGGAGATGCTGCTTATGAAGAGGAAGGGCTGGTGGTGAAGGGGAGGGGCTGGTGATGAAGAGGAGGGGGTTCTGACGAAGAGGAGGAGCTGGTGATGAAGAGGAAGAGATGGCGATGAAGAGGAGGGGCTGCTGATGAAAAGAAAAGGTTGCTGATGAAGAGGCGGAGCTGCTGATGAAGGGGAGGAGCTGATGATGAAGAGGAGGAGCTGATGAACAGAAGGGGCGGGAAATGGAGGGGCTGCTGATGAAGAGGAAGGGCTGTTCATAAAGAGGAAGGGCTGCTGATGAAGAGGAGGAGCTGATGAAATGGAGGGGCTGATGATAAAGAGGAAGGGATGGTGATGAAGGGCAGGTGCTGTTGATGAAGAGGAAGAGCTGCTGATGAAGAAGTGGGGTTGGTGATGAAAGAATAAAGAGGAGGGGCTGCTGATGAAGGCTTAAAGGGGAGGAGTTGATGCAGAGGAGGGGCTGCTGATAAAGAGGAAATGCTGCTGATGAAGACGGGTTGGTGACGAAGACTTAAAGGGGAGGAGCTGATGATGAAGAGGAGATGCTGCTGATGAAAAGGAGATGCTGCTGATGAAGAAGAGTAGATGGTCACGAAAGGATAAAGAGGAGGGGCAGCTGATGATGGCTGATGAAGAGGAGGGGCTGCTGATGAAGAGGAGCAGCTGCTGATGAAGACGAGGAGCTGCTGACGAAGGCTTAAAGGGGAGGAGCTGATGATGAAAAGGAGATGCTGCTTATAAAGAGGAAGGGCTGGTGATGAAGGGGAGGGGCTGCTGATGATGAAGAGGGCTTGGTGACGAGAGGATAAAGAGGAGCGGCTGCTGACGAAGACTTAAAGGGGAGGAGCTAGGGATGTAGAGGAGGGGCTGCTGATGAAGAGGAGGGGCTCCTGATTAAGAGATGCTGCTAATAAAAGAGGAGGGGCTGCTGATGAAGAAGAGGGGATGGTGACGAACGGATAAAGAGGGGGCAGCTGTTGAAGGCTGATGAAGAGGAGGGGCTGCTTTGAAGAGGAGTGGCAGCTGATGAAGAGGAGGGGCTACTGATGAAGGCTTAAAGGGGAGAAGCTGATGATGAAGAGGAGATTGTGCTCATGAAAAGGAGATGCTGCTGATGAAGAGGGGCTGGTGACGAAAGGATAAAGAGGAGGGGCTGCTGATGAAGAGGAGGAGCTGATGATAAAGACGAGGGGCTGGTGATGAAAAGGAGGAGCTAATGATAAAGAAGAGGGGCTTGTGATGAAGGGGAGGGGCTGCTGATGAAGAGGAGATGCTGCTGACGAAGAGGAGGGGCTTGTGATTAAGGGGAGGGGCTGCTGATATAGAGAGGGGCTGGTGATGAAGGAGAGATGCTGCTGATGAACTGGAGGAGCTGCTGATGAAAGGATAAAGTGGAGGAGCTGGTGATGAAAGAATGGAGCTGCTAATGAAGGGATGAAGATGACCTGCTTATGAAGAGGAGGGGCTGCTGAAGGAATGAAAAAAAAGCAGTTGCAGAATCAAAAATTCAATAAAACAAAAGTGTACATTAAACTATCAGGACATGAGTTTGTTTTCACGCCCCAAAACAATAGTTTTCTGAAAAACATATTAATTACAACATAACAATTTTCAAAAAGTGATACAAAGTGATTTAAGCCGTATCCACTGAAACATATATGGACTGTTTCCACTTGAGCCTGAAATAATTTTTTTTTCAGGAAAAAAGTGTTCCTGCCTTTTGTTTGGTGCCGCCAGTGGCACAGAAATTGCTTACAGCAGCTTTAAGTATAATTGCATGTGTATGTATTTGTGCTTATGTGCTTTTGTGTCTGTTCTGATGTTGAAAGTCATCACTCTATACCTTGATTGTGTGAAATGTTACATCTTCAGAGTGACAGCTTTACAGTACCAGCTGACTGCTGTGGATGCATGCGATCTGGAACCCAATCTCCATGTGCTTCTTGAAATCCTGTTCATTTCTCTATCCTGCCAGCACAGAACAAGCATTTCTCTATTTTGTCTGAAAAGAAAAAAACACAATCTGAGGTATTTCTAGGTACAATTTAATCTCCTGAACAGCCTACAATACTCTGGTTCACACATTTTTTAAAAGACAGGTAAGATTGCAGTGGTGAGCGCTTCAGCTCAATTGCACCGCTGTCATCTCTGGTTTTCTGGATTGATGTTATGCTTTTAAGAAGCAAGATTCAGAAGCTTTATATATATGCAGTTGAACATTTGAGATTTGGTCCTAAAATTAAACTCAAACAACCTACACCCAAAAATAAAGTTGTTTCCTCTATATCAATGCATTTAAAAATAAATACTCAGCGGCTGAAAGATTTAATTGCAATCTTAGAGAAACAATTGAGCCATCAAGAAATTTCAGATTTTTCCCCTATAATTACCTGAACAGAATTAGATATGAAGGTGTGCCTATTTTAAAGTAGTCCATTTCCCACAACCTAGACAGATGCACCTGCATATCAAGAGCTCTTTCAAAAAACTTTCTGTCTTTGCCCTTGGCATTGATGGTCTGTTTTTCTAAATACCCCACTGTTCGTAACTGAGATGAGACATCAGCTGAAAAGGTGACTGGCACTTTGTAAGCAGCTCTGGTCCATCTGGTGAAATTGTGCATTTAATCCAATTTCAGCGGAGGTCTGAATTCATGTGTGAAAGCTGAAATGAGATGCACCCATTACATATACACAGAGGTTTGCCACTACAGACGTGAATGGCATGCAAAAGTGGCCTCGTGGCAGGGTACAATTAATTTCTATCAAATATTAAATTAGGATATTTTGTTTAGATTTCCAAAGAGCCACTAAATGTTACACAGGCAGCATGTGATTTGTAACCACTAAATGAAATGTGGTCATTATTTACTCACTCTAGCAGCATTTTCAAATCCATAATAATGTTTTATGCATGCCTCTTTTACAAGCTCAAGGCTGCACAAATACATAAGTTAAATATCTAAGGTTTTAAAGAATCAATATAATAATAACAGTTTGGTACATTAGAATGTGCCGTTTAATTTAGCTTCACTGAAGACACTCACTAAAAGTTTGTAACAACGTAATTAACGATGTAACAATAATTTAGGTAGCGCAAAATCTGTAAATTTAGAGCAAGAATCATTCATTCATTCATTTTCTTGTCGGCTTAGTCCCTTTATTTATCCGGGGTCCCACAGCGGAATGAACCACCAACTTATCCAGCAAGTTTTTACACAGCGGATGCTCTTCCTGCCGCAACCCATCTCTGGGAAAGAGCAAGAACCAATTAATGATATTTAAAAGACTATTTAAGAATCACAATGCAGCCAAAACATACTAGGTAATTGCTTTCTAAAATCTTCATACTTTGTCACAATAATTTTTGTCCAACCCCTTTGTCAGCATGAAGTTTTACATCATTCAAAATTTTGATTAAATTAATTAATTTAATAAGAACAAGTCAGAATAATGTGTTGTTTAATTTTGACATAAACACATTTGTTAAGCTAAACTATGATGATGATGCATCATTTCACTGTCATTTTGTCATTTTATTTACACAAATGTGATTTGAATCAATAAAGTATACCATTTGGTTGGTTTTAACATGCATTCAATGCATTGAAATAATTTTTAATAGTTGAATATGTTGTCTATAACCCACCCCTCCGACAAAAACAAAACTAATTGCAATAATAACAAAATACAGAAAATAGAAAAATACAAGTTCTCAAAAAGATTGTTTCATAAATTTGGTGCAAACACACTAAAACATTTTTAGATTTCTGTGAAACATAATAAGTTTACATTATGCTGCTCTTAATGGGTTTTAAACCACATAGAAGTGAGTAAATAAAAATCTAAAGATCATTTTTAAAGAATAGCTAAAGTGAAAAATATTTTTAGAGAAAATGTGCTCTGTATGTTTAAGAAAATGAGTTTACCAGTTATTGAAAACTCTTTCGGGGTCTTGCTGAGGAGAGTTCGCACTGAGGTTGGCCAATTCTGATGTAAGGACTGTTTGAGAAAGAGATGGAAAAAAACAGACATGGACAATATTGGTGAACAAACAATGTGGGGGCTTTGATACAGCATTGCGTCCCACATGGATTGAGTGTCGCAGACAGTACAGGAGAGCCTTGGGAGATGAGCACACATATCAAAATGCAGACACAAACACCTGGGCCCCACAAATATCACAGCGCCTGCCTCTTATCTGTCTTTCTGCCTGTCGCTAACGCTTGTCTATTTGCTGCATCTCTCAACATGTGCATTTATTAAAAAGAAAATTTTCATTTACTCACCCTCGTGTCATTCCAAACCTGTGTGCGGTAATTTATTCCTGAAGAGCACAATTTTGCAGGATTATTTCAGATCACAGTCATTTCCAAGATGTAAAAAACACAACAAATCTGTATTCAAATTGCATAATACCATATATAGTAAACTATGGTTCGAAGCTCTCTTTTTAAGTGTTCAGCAGCTGCAGGATCCCACTGAGATTAATAAGTGTCATGCAAAGAGCTGCACTTTCTGTAGCTGTAGGACACTCAGACGCCATATGCCAGAGAATAACAAGCTAATGAAATAAAGGGGAACGCAGACATGAATGCACAACGCATTTCTTCTTGCACACCAGCAAGAAAGTATGCAGTTGTTTGGGAAACACTTGTGGGTTTTTGATTTTCTTTTAAAGAAAATCAAGTGTGAAATGTCCAGTGTTGTCCCCAAATCAAATTACATGGATGCACACTGCCATCTAGTGGCAATGTTATTCATTAAAAATCTTTAACTGTGGTCACAGTGGCCCCTGTTGATTTAAAAGGATATTTCACATATTACAAATTCTGCAAAATCATTTGCTCTCCCTCAGGACAGTGACTAGTTGTAAAATAAATGGATATAAATTATTCACCAAATACTGGTGTATTGCAGTATTAAATTTAATTTAAATGAGAGCAATCTATGCGAGAAGCAATGACTGTTGAAGTCATCCCTACTGGTATGACAAATTTCTACAAAGTGTCTGTAGTTATTTACTGGTTCTCATGTCTTTACTTTAATGTTACTGAATATATCTGCATTATTTTGAATAAAAACAGCAATAAAGAAATATTATATAATGCTACAATTTAAAACAACTGTTTTCTGCTTAAATATATGCATAATTTAGTATTTATATAGACATCTTTTAAAAGCTAAATTATGCACAATGTTTTTACCAATATCAATCAATACTGGTTAAAATCCCTGTGTGACTATGCAATTATACATTTATACCAATTATACTTTTATCAGGCAAAGAAGCATATATGTTAACCTAATTGGCATTGATTACCAATTTTTTTAAAGTCATTAAAGTTCAAATGCCTTGTTATAACTCCCCCAAGTAACACTCCAGGGTTTTTCCAATAAGTGTTTCAACAAGTGCCCTATAAAAGGTTAAAATAACAGTAAACTAAATTAAGCAAAAACTAATTGCAAACTAACTAGTAGTTAATGTAATGTATAACTTATGCAACAATTTAGTAATTATTAAAGCTCTGTGCAACGTCCTAGTTGTCAAATGACCTTGTGGAGAAAGGAGTTGCTTAGTTATGCTTTCAGCGAAGTGAAAGTAAAGGGAAGAAACGAAAGTGTTGGGTATAGTGTAGGTTTCACAGTATCTTCAACAGTCGAGTGTCTCCACTGGGGATTGTTTACAGTCATGGCAGATGCTCTGTCTTTTTTGGAAGAGGATTTGTCATGCCTCATCTGCTGTGATGTCTTTACTGATCCAGTCACTCTGAAATGTAGCCACAGTTTGTGTGAGAATTGTCTCAAGAGTTTCTGGAAGACTCAAGATGTGCTGCAGTGTCCAGTCTGTCGGAAGGAATGCTCACCTGACGAGCCCACCAAGAGCCTGGCATTCAGAGCACTCTGCGAGTCCTTCAAGACGAGAAAACCCACAGCTGTTTCAGGAGACGTCTGTCCACAGCATAAGGAGACACTCAAACTCTTCTGCTTTGAGGACAAGCAGCCCATCTGTGTGGTCTGTTACACTTCAAAAAAGCATGAAAATCACAAGTGCTCCCCTGTCGAGGAGGCTGCTGGGAATTTAAAGGTATGAGGAGTTTTGAAATCTGATGTGGCCGACTTTTGACATCTTCAAGCTCATTATTAAAGAGTTTATCTTGTGATTCTAGGCGGATCTTAAGATGCAAATGGACAAGCTGCAGGTGACGCTTGATGACCTCAAGAAAACACATGAGAGCTGCATGGAACAGGCTGAAAATATAATGGTATTGTATGTGGTTAGTACTATAATAAAAATAACCAGGTCCTAAAGCTAACATTCTGCCACACCTGCCAATGGCTAGTTCATGTTTCACTTTACCTGATATAAAACTGAATGAGCATAACTTTGATAACACGCTGGCTCAGCGTTAATCATGCCAGCAGTATGACATGACAATATGGTGCCAATTTTATATTAAAATGTAGTTTTTTTTTCATATTAGCATATTATATATTCTAGCAGCATTAAAAAATGTGTTTAAACATGCCAAAAATTTGCTAAAGCATTCAAATCAATAGTTATTAATGTACAAATACAGACAACAATGCCTAAAGCTTGTTAACATCTTCGAGTCAGCAACATCATTGCACCAGATCTTGCAGATTTTGCAATGAGCTCAGTAGCTCAGGCGGTCTTTGGCTGTTGTTCGAACGTATTCAACCACATGCGTGTCTACAGTCTGTTTAGGGGGGTGGAGTGTTGCTGTTGGGGAAACCAAGATGCTGGCTCAACATTGTTAAGTCTGTCAGCCATTGTCTACTGGCACAACCCTATTACCTGTAAAGGAGCCATATTACTTTTCATTTAATGATAATATTTATTTGTTTACCGACTAGTTTGGGTTTTTCACAGTGGTGTTTTATGTTTTGGTCACATGGGCATACCTGGCACCTGCTAGCAAATAAAGGGCGCTCACACAGGTGTTACGAACATGAATGAGAGTGAGGTAGCCGTATTTGTTGTTGACCGCCACGGCACACACAACAACCCTTTATAACTACACGCTACAATGCAATAATCAGCCTTTGACGTCATGCTTAACAGGTATTCAACCTACAGATTGCTGTTTGTTATGTCATGTTTTAAGTTTATATAAAGTTTTGCTACAAACATCTTGGGCTCAGCATGTCTGTCTCAGCCACCAGCGTGTCACGAATCAAAGGACCCTCACTGCCTCTCTAGCCACTTAAGAAATCAGGAAGTCGCAATAACCTGCCTTCATTGTTTCTTCTTGTTTCCGCCATTACCTGCAAAGACATACAGGGAAGTTAAACAGTGTCATACGATGCACATTAACAAGTGACTCAGACTCACAGAACTTGCAAAGTGGAAGTGTTAATGGCTATGAGACTGAAAACATGTCAAAAGTCACACAACAGTAGATTATGTTTCATATTACATAATTAAAACCTAATGTTTGCAATAAGACAATCATGTTAAACTGCAAACCATAGTAACACTGTTTCACATATGAACTAAAGGTAACTATCACCAACGTGGCACTTGGTGAGTGTTAATTTTAGCACTGAGTATGATGATGTTAACAGAAATGATTAAGCCTTCTTACACCATTTCAGGAAAAAGAAGAAATCCAAATCAAGAAAGAATTTGAGAAGCTGCATCAGTTTCTCAAAGACGAGGAGGACAAATGGATCAAAGCATTGAAGAAACAAATAAAACCTCAAGATGGGAAATTTAAAGCCAGAATCAAGCATCTGTCCACACAGATAACAGATCTCTCTGAGAGGATGGCAGCCCTCTGGCAGGACATGGAAGCTGAAAACATCCCATTTCTCCAGGTACAGCCTAAACACTCAAAAACGCACACAACTCCAGGGATGAAAGTCAATCAGAGAGCTGTAATCTAGAGCAAACGTGTCTGATAATCAATGTTTGTGATGTTTACCTACCTACATGACTGAACACTAATAGCTTTTTATTTCTCATTCAGAATTACAGCGATACATTACAAAAGTGAGTCTTTTTCCAATTAGCATTCTGATTCTGATGCAGTAGCTTTTTCTCTCAAATGTAGCATTGTTTATGTACACAGACTCAAACACTCTTCGGTAGAAAAGAGACCCGCTGAAGCAGAGAAATATCAACACCATTCTCCTCAGACAATGATCTTCACCACCTGGGCTAGAATGCAGAACCTTGTGGAGCAGCGTAAGTAATCAAGTCTGCTTAGATTTTAATTACTTACCAAATGCTGCTCAAATTAAATGGTGTAATTTGTTTAAAAGGAACACACAATTCCTGCAGCTCTTTCTCATTTAGCTCATGATAACCAAAAGCTGGCAAGGGGGAAAGCGTTCGTTCTTAAACTGCATCTATTTCTATTTATTCAGTTAACAAACACCTTTGTTTAGTCTGACTTAAAATGAAGAACACAAATAAAGTCAAATAAAATGACAACATCGAGGTTTGGATAAGCATTTTTAAAAATATTATAAATGGTATTGAATTGTTTTTTTAAATTACAATACAATCACATTTTCTAAATATGATCGCAGTCATTATATAAAATCGCAATGGAGTTGACATTAAAGTGTCTTTAAAGGTCTTTTTGATTATTATCTTTTATTCATTGCGTACTGTAGCTCTTGGCGAACACTATATCTAAGTTTAAACAGATGAAAGTGAATGACAAATAAATGTGTGTTCTAACAGAGATGAATAATCATGAATAATAATTGATGGAAGCTGTAAAATGAATTTCTAACAATATGTCCTACATTTACGTACGTAATTTTAGTCATCGAGCAACATAATATTTTCAGCCATGGCAAATCTAAACGTGATTGGCCACTGTGCTCATATACTCTCAGCAGAAATGGTGGTCATTGTTATCATTCTCTTTACTTACCATTAAAAAAAAACATATCATTCGCTCAAGTGCTTGTGATGAACATTTAAATTTAATAAAATGTGATGTTTCATCAACATACTTGGGCTTGAATTGTCTTGATAAAATCCATGATAGTGCATACAATTGTGGATGACTGAGAAAGCCGTCTAACAATGGGTGTTTTCTGACACGTGGTTTAAACTGTAGACTAGGGGTGTCCAGGAGGGCCGGTGTCCTGCATAGTTTAGCTCCAACTTGCTTCAACACACCTGCCAGGAAGTTTCTAGTATACCTAGCGAGGGCTTGATTAGCTGGTTCAGGTGTATTTACTTAGAATTGGAGCTAAACTCTCCAGGATAACGGCCCTCCAGGATCGAGTTTGGACACCCCTGCTGTAGACCAATCACAACAAAACGGGCCATCTGACCAACCAGAATAGAGCAGGCTCTCAAAAATGAGAGGTTTAGAAAGAACAAATGTTAGACAATTGTTTAGGAATGCATTTGGTGAATATGAATGGTGATGTTTTAAACCGTGGAGGCAAACAAACATTTTGGAAGAATCAATAAAATAAACAAATAAATAGATTTGCCTTTAGAAACTTCTGTGTATCTCTGCAATGTAAATATGCAGCTATGTTTGAAAATAAATCTGTAACTCTTACTTACACTACAGTGCCACTACTGTAGTTAATGATTATCTGTGTTTACAGCTCCTGTGATTCTGGACCCGAACACAGCTTCCAGTAAGCAGTGGGTGTCAGCGGATTGCACAAGTGTTCAGTATGTCCTAAAGAAAGTGCACATGTGTGATAACCCAAAAAGGCTGTTTTTGGGAGTGCTGGCTTCACAAGGCTTCAATTCAGGTCTGCACTGCTGGGACGTAGAAGTAAGAGACAACAACCACTGGACACTGGGTGTAGTGGGTGAAACTGTGTATCGTAAAAGACTTTACAGAATGGATCCGAAGAGTCGTTTTTGGTGTTTTCGCTTTGTGGATGGCAAATTCAAGAAAGGTAACAATCCTGGCAAAGCAATCGATGAGAATAAGAGGCCAAATATCATCCGGGTTCAGTTGGACTTTGAGAAAGGAGAATTGAGATTCATTGACCCCTTCAGAAATAAAAATCTGTGCACCTTCACAGGTGGATTTCCGGAGAGAGTTTTCCCATATTTTTGTAGTGGAGATTTGGCAACACCACTGAATATATTCCCAGCAAATAAGGAAAAATTTTAAAACCACAACCAACATCATTTAATTTCATATGTTATAAGTATGATAGGACAGTAAATCATATCACATTTTAATAAAAAAGAGCTGGATCAAATGTGATGTCCTTATAAGTTTAAGTGTCAGGTCTTAATTATTTCAATAGCGCTTTCACGATGTAGACTGTGTCAAAGCGGAAGAAAATTTATTTTAAAAATGTCATGCGAAATGTAGCTTATTAGGCATTTCGATTAATCATGCAGTATTTCAATATATTCAGTGCAGCCTTTACTATAAGGCAGATTGTAATGTAATAATTACCTGTGTAAGGAACAATAAAGACCTCTTTGTTGTATCAATGATGTGATATTATTGGATTTTATTCATGTATAGTGGAGGATGACACATACCTGCTCTGATGAAACTCTCAGGCCATTAAGACAAGCAAAACTGTCATGGATATGCCTACCCGAGGGTGTGTAACCAGCTTCGTATTCTCCAAGGGCTGCTGAGACTGAGCAGTTTATCCAGCGACTCTAGGAGAACATCACAGCATCTGTTAAGGATTTTTATCTCAATCATCATTCATAAAAGAACTGTATTAATCAGTCTAACTACTAATAAGATGTATCTGTTGTTATACAAATGTTAGAAAACAAGTTTTTTCTGAAGGGGAAACAACAGCAACTCAAGCAGCATTTGGTAACGCTTTATAATCAGGTTGTATTAGTTCATGTTAGTCAGTCACAGCTACCACAAATGATAGACCCCAAATGATGCTCAAGCACTGGTCATGTTTTTAATTACATTTAATGTTAGCCTTTTTAATTAAGATAATGTTTTACTTGACAAAAATAATGCAAAATGTGTTTGTTACAAGTAGCAAATATTTTATGATCAAGACACCACCTCTGTCTCATTTTAAGCCAGGACCAAAATAAAAACTGGTTTATGTATTTACTTACATGAACAAACAATTTATTTCTAAACAATAAATGAAAAGTAAGTTTATTGCATTAATTATTAATCTTTATTAACATTAGTTAATGAAAATGAAGTTGTTGTTATTTTATGAAATACAAGTTCATATTTGGATTTTACATATATAAAATGTCATATATGCAACATATATTTCGAAATATTGATTTATCAATCATTGGAATTACAAATATGTGCATATATGTTCAAATATATTAGTTATAATTGTATATATGTATTCATATATGGCCATATATGAATACACACACACACACACACACGTATACATGTGTGTGTGTTTGTCTGTGTAATTATAAATATACTGCCTTTTATATACCTAAAATTTAAATATGAACTAGTAAGTCATATATTATTTGCATATTTTCCATGTATCAGATTTCTATATGCATTATTAATACATTAGTACATGTTAAACTATGATTAATAAATTATTTAATAAATAATTTAACAAATTAATTTATGTTATACACTGACTAGTAATAAGTAATGAAACTTAATTGTAAAGCATTTATTACGGCATATACAACGGGATATTCATAATATATAACTATCTGTAACTGTTTAATTTAATATATACGGTAGGGCATAATGAAGAGTAACTTAATAAATTATTATTTAATAAAGTGTGTGGTAGTAACTTAAGTTTCGCTGGATAACGTTAATCTTACCGACGTTAAACAGGTTGGGTAGAGAAAAAACGCATACAAATATCCTTTAGACATTCATAAATCTAAATCACACAGTTTATAGTCTGAAGCTTATGAATAATATTTAATAACTTTATAAAACTCCGGTTTTATGATAAAGTTGTCGTCAGGCAGTAAGTTAGATAACGTTAACTTACCTCAGAAAAACGCGCCGGTCACCTCACAAACTACATTAACCATTACTGGATGTGATATTGATAACTTTTAATATTCATTATACACGCAAACTTCATAAATTTCATAATGAAATGCTTAAAAAAGCGTGCCTTAATAACTGACGTTTAAGGTTAGCTTACCCGGCCGAAAGAACGGAAAGAATGCTTCCTAGAAACATACTGAAATGTTATTCACAAAGTTTACATTATCAAGTTTCAGAATAGTATATACCTTTATAAAAGTAACGTTACCGTTTTGTAATAAATTGTCGTCAGGCAACAGCTAACGTTAACTAGCTTAACGTTACGTTACCTCAGAAAGCGCGCCAGTCACGTTATCCATCAAACTAACGCTAGTCGAGCAACATTAAACGGGAAAATTTACCGTCAAAATACTACCTATAGACATACTGAAATGTTATTCACACAGTTTAGAGTCTGAATTTTGAGAACAATATTCCACAACTTTATGAAAGTCCCGTTTTATAATAAATTTCTCGACAGGCAACAGCTAACTAACTTACCTCAGAAGGCGCGCCAGTCTCGTCAGTCAGAGGACTAACGTTAAGGTTAAGCTAGTCGAGCAACATTGAACGGAAAACCTAACCGTCAGAATTATACCTAAAGACATACTGAAACGTTATCCGCACAGTTTACAGTCTCAAGTTTTAAGAATGTATTTCATAACTTTATGAAACTCCCGTTTTATATTTCTCGTCAGGCAACTGCTAACCAATTTACGTTACCTCAGAGAGCGCGCCAGTCAGAAAACTAACGCTAGTCGAGCAACATTGAACGGATAACTTTACCGTCAAAAAATTACTTGTAGACGTACTGAAATGTTATTCGCACAGTTTATAGTCTTAATTTTCAGAATGATATTTCATAACTTCATGAAAGTACTGTTTTATAATTCATTTTTCGTCAGGGAACAGCTAATTAACTTACCTGTGAGAACGCGTCAGTCAATTCAGTCTGACGTGTACGCGCAGTCTTTTGGCGCCACCGTGAGTGCGCGTGCTTTATAAAAAAAATAATTAAAAATAAATTTCTTGAATATAATTAGTAAAATGAACAAAAACCAAATAAATTTCATTTAAAAATGTTGTATAATAGTTTAACTAGGTAAACTGGTTGATATGCAGACATGATAGGTTTAACTTACAGCTAATTAGTTTGATAAACAATATTATATAAATAATATAATTATAAACAATATAAAAAAATAATTTTACTACATGCAGTACGTTTTAAAAGGAAAATATTTGTATCACTTATGAGAAAAATACAACTGATCAGAAAGAAATGATCTCAATCTATGAGAAAGATGCAGCTTGAAAGCTAAATCCTTTGGCTGAGAAATGTGTAGCAGGTTTTTAATTATCCAGCTTTAGTCACACAGTCAGGATCCAAAGTAATGCATTCATTTTGTAAATATTTATGACCTTTAATAACTGTATTTCTATTAACAGTGTCATCAAAAATACAGTTTGTGCAAACAGGTTATTGATTTAAAATGAAAACAAAATGTTTTACTTTATATATATATATATAGACACACAACATATGATAAACACCAACACACATATCAATCATATCAATAGGAATACACACTGAACAGGAACAAATGTGCTTGAACTTCCCTTCTCTGTGATGTAAACACTCTTCTGACACTCAGACACTATTTACAGTACAGCAACATATTAAGGCAACGTTCACAATCCATGCAGCAGCGGTAAACAACCAGAAGTGTGTGTCCGTTTTGAAAGGTTAATACGAGGGGACGAGAGAGAAGAATCCAGCGTTCTTCTTCATTGATTAGCATGCAATGTATTTTCTCAGGGATTTTTGGTGAGCAGATATGAAGTTAAAACAGAAAGTGTTAAAACCATCAAAAATACATCAACATCATCTGAATTTAAAATCTAAATCTTATGAAAATACATTTAGAGCACATCACCTTCATATCAAAAGAGGGAAAATGAATGAATTATATTGTACACAAAGAAAATTAACTTAAAAATTCCAATTATCTCTAATGCATCTAGTACAAAGTAGTGCAAGTCATAAAACTATCGTTATTACATTATTTTGTTTTTGCTCGTAATTAATTAATTTTCTTGATGCAAAATATAATTTTTTTAGTTTTAGTGGTGAAATGTTCTGAACACTCTCCCTAACCACATACTCTTTAGATCCATCAGAACAGCACAGAAAATATCATAAGTATCCTAAATATAATCTGTCAGTGTAAGAACAAACCTCGGTTTCTTTTCTATTGGTTCGTTAAGCATAAATCCAGCTTCTCTTTTCAGAAAAAAAGAGGATCTTGTCAGTTATTCCAGGTAGTAAAAGATTAGATGAAGCATTTGCCTTGTACAACAGTTAATTTGGTCTCTTTTGTTTAATTTGTTGAAATGGAGTACAAGTCCTCTTGCTCTGGTGTGAATTGTAGGACAGATGAGGTGACCTGAGCATGAGAGGCTTGTGTGTGTGTGTGTGTACTGGTTTGGTGGTTTACAAGGACAGAAATTTGTATATTGACATGGGTAAACCTTAGTTGTACTCTATTATTTTGTTTACAAAGACATGCCTTGTGTCCTTGTAATTCAATATGCTTTAGAATTATACTTTATGGGGTCTTTTCACATTCAAATATTGCCACAGGTTTGCTCTGAGGGTTGGGTTTAGGGCAGGGGTGTCAAACTCAGTTCCTGGAGGGCCGCAGCCCTGCAGTTTAGTTCCAACCATGTTCCAACACACTTACCTGTAGGCTTCAAACAAGCTTGAATGAATTAGTTTAATCAGGTGTATTTAATTTGGGTTGGAACTAAACTGTGCAGAGCTGCGGCCCTCCTGGAACTGAGTTTGACACCTGTGGTTTAGGCGTTGAGCCATATAGTAAGCATTTTTAATGTATAAAATACATCACACCTACAAAGTGTCCTCGTTAACCACCACACGGCAAAATATACTTTTCTTACTTAGATTTTCTGTCTTGTTTCTAGTCCAGATATCTGAAAATTCTTAAATCAAGAAGCTTTTTATAGACAAGTAAAACACATTGTCTTACTTTAAGAAATAATATGCCAAAATTAAGTGAGTTTTACCTTAAAACAAGCTAAATAATCTACAAATGGGTTGAGCTAAAAAAAAACTTATTTTAAAAGGAATAACACGAATATCTGGCATATTATTTCTGAAAACAAGACAGTATTTTTTGCTTGTCTAGAAAATGCTTCTTGATTTAAGAATTGTTAGATATTTGGAGTAGAAAAAATTAAATATCTAAGTAAGAAAAGCATTTTTGTAGTGCATTATACCAACATGTGTGGTGTGTATGTATACATGTGTGTGTGTCTCAGGGTCACTCGCAGGCCAGCTTGCTGTCGAAGCTGGACAGGCCGATGGCGAAGGCCTGCAGGGCACACATGGGGTAGTTATAGTCCAGAGTGAAGATGTCCTCCGCCACACGGCCAAACTGCATCACGATGTA